GGGGGGGGGGGGGGGGGGGGGGGGGGGGGGGGGAATAGAATAGACTGCCTAATAAATATTTGAATAATTATGAGCAAAGCATTATCGACAAGGAGTTGTACTTGGTATAGTCACCCACGATTTTAGAGCGTCCAAGTTTAGTAAATTATTGGGACATTTAACATTAAAATATAAGCTTTTTACATGGATTTTCTGGGTTGATGGAGACGAGGTTTCTTGTTTTAAGTCGTCCTCAGCTGTCAGCCCTACTGTGATTGACGCGGCTTCTTCTGATATGCCAGAAGCTGTGCACGGTGAACTTGGGATCAATGGTATTGATCAATCGGGGTTGGTATAGAAAAAAACTAGTTAACATACTATATGTCATTCATAAGTTCTATTATGTGGTGTCTATAATGTGAAAATTTTAGGAAATTTTACCAGTTGGCCACGAGTGGAGCAGTGGGTTTTCAGCTCTGCTAAGGTTTGTTGTTCCCTCAAAACTTGAAAATGATCTTCAATAGGATGTGGAATCAAGGATTTTGAAACTAAAACATCAATCGAGGTCGAAGGCTCGATTTTGAGGTTTAGTTCTTGTATCAAGAACATGTCTATTTCATCAGCTTGAAATCCAGTCTGACCAGCAACGTACTGTGAGAGAGAGAGAGAGAGAGAGAGAGAGAGAGAGAGAGAGAGAGAGAGAGAGAGAGAGAGAGAGAGAGAGAGAGAGAGAGAGAGAGAGAGAGAGAGAGAGAGAGAGAGAGAGAGAGAGAGAGAGAGAGAGAGAGAGAGAGAGAGAGAGAGAGAGAGAGAGAGAGAGAGAGAGAGAGAGAGAGAGAGAGAGAGAGAGAGAGAGAGAGAGAGAGAGAGAGAGAGAGAGAGAGAGAGAGAGAGAGAGAGAGAGAGAGAGAGAGAGAGAGAGAGAGAGAGAGAGAGAGAGAGAGAGAGAGAGAGAGAGAGAGAGAGAGAGAGAGAGAGAGAGAGAGAGAGAGAGAGAGAGAGAGAGAGAGAGAGAGAGAGAGAGAGAGAGAGAGAGAGAGAGAGAGAGAGAGAGAGAGAGAGAGAGAGAGAGAGAGAGAGAGAGAGAGAGAGAGAGAGAGAGAGAGAGAGAGAGAGAGAGAGAGAGAGAGAGAGAGAGAGAGAGAGGGAGAGGGAGAGGGATGTAAACCAGGGTGTGAAACTATTAACTGCATGAAGGGGATTTGAAGACGAAATGAAAATAATTACCTGACAAAGGTGTCGGACTGACGAGGTTGGCCGACAGCAGATATAGGGTAGCTGCAAACTGGGAATTATTCTTTGATCATAGGAAAATAACAGCAGGCAGACTTCACGCTGAAACCAACATATAATCATTATCATCTGGAAAGAACGGGGAGATGGACTCACAAGACGTTGATCCTCAATGAAATAAAGTTACCTCCTCAGCATTGTTGTCTGAAGTCCGAAGGGAATCTACCAGTGTTGAGATGCGGTTGTTTTTTACGTTCTTGCTGCTCCCAACACTCATGCAGCCATGTCTTGTATGGCTGCGCATGCCCCCTTTGCCCCAAACAAGCCTCTCTGAGTTTCCCACAAGCCTTGAAGATGCACTAAGGATTTCTCTATTTACTTGATCCGAGTCATTGTCTTCACCAGCTCCATCTGAACAAGCAGCAAAAGGAGGCTGGGAGAACTTGGCAGCTCCTTGTTTCCTGAATCCTTTTGATCTCCGCTCGGACCGCTCCATCTGTTCATCAGAAGAAGAATCTTTGACTCCATCTTCAGCAGTTGGATCCTCATTGTCATCAGATGCTGGAAATTCAGCATCATTTCTGTAGCTCCTTTTCCCCTTTGATTGGCTGTTCCTGTAGTTATTTCCGCGCAATCTTCTAACAGATGGAGGGCGTTTCTTGCTAACTGCCTCAGATTGTCTACGCAAGGTCTGAGCTATGGAAGCTTGAATCTGTCCGAATAAATTGAATATTAGTACCTTGAGGCATTAGAAGAAAGTTCCGTATAGTTGTACTGGGGACATTCATAACAACTGTAGCTCACACGTGAAGCAATGAACTATTTGGATGAGAGTAACTAACGGGCCAGAGTTTTGGTTACCTCATAAAATTTGTGAATTAAATACACAATATTTGAAAAGAAAATATGAAAAAGTGAGCTACTTTTTCCTAAATTAACCGATTCCTTTTGCTCTTCATGGTTACTTAATATGTTCCCTTAAACTTCCATTGCTTTGTGACAAATTCCTCTGCCCTCATGCACCCAATTCAGGAAAGAAAAACACTTGGAAATATTTCGTTTCACCTGCTTATTGCGGATTCTCTCTTCTTCTCGAAAAGCCAGCTCCTACAGGAGTGAAATATACAAAATAACTTCAGCTGACGGACATAAATGCATACCCCAAATGGAAAAGTACTGATGAATCTCACAAATCATACATCTTCTTCATACTTCTCAATATCTGGATATAAAGCAGCAATTAAAGAATCATAATTTGGATCATCTCTCAGTGAGCGGCGACTAGCGCAATGTGTGCGGCAGGCGGGACATTCGTTGTTGCTGCAAAATATATCAATTATGAGGTTAAGAAATGAAAAAAGAATCGTTTCACAAGTCAAACACAAAACCACTTTCTTTTTGTTTTTTTTTTTAAGTAAGAGATCAGGTAAATGCATACCCCAAACGCATAGATTTGTCAATGCATTCTCTGCAGAAGCGATGCAGGCACTCCATCACTGTTCTTGTTTTCCGAATAATCCCTGCCACCCAAAGAATTTCCGGTTTCACATTATTTATACCCACGAAACAAACAATACATATCTTTTTATGCAGCAATTCTTGCATGAATGGCAGGCTAATAAGGGGGAAAGTAATCATTTTTTTGTTTGGATTGCCTGTGTTTTCATGCTTTGCATGCAATTACTGCTTGAATGAATAAAATGCATCATTTCTTACAGAATCGGGTATAAACTAAAGTGAAATTTTATTTTGTCGAACTCTTTCTACAAAACAGCTTTCACATTCGAATTGCATCAATATGCAG